AGACAGGGTCTCCTTGTAGCCCCAGCTGTCCTGGAACTCACTATGTAGACCAGGCTGGCCTCAAACTCACAAAGATCTGCCCCCTGCCTCCCTAGTGCTGGGATTAAAGGCGTGCGCCACCATACCCAGCCCTCCTTATCTTTTTAAAGGTAATCTTTATATAAAAATCTCAAAGCAGTCATTCCTGCCAGCTATCCAAATTGCCATGAATTCTCATTTAGTGGAATCCAAAGTAATGCAAAGTTTTAGGAAAGAAAAAGACAAAGGGTTTAAGGTTACTGGTTCTTTCCATTCATAAGCAAACACAAAACCCAATAAATAATGCATGCCTACCCATACCCAAGTCTTCCAGCATGTTTCTTTTTGTTTACTTTTTCCAGAAAGTGAGAGAAGAAAGAATTATTTTCATCATCGATGAGGCCCAATTTGTGGATGTAGCCTCTTGGTCTTTCATAGAAAGTCTCATCCAGTCTATGCCCATCTTCATAGTCATGTCCCTGTCTCCCTTCATCGACTTCCCTTGTGCAGCTGCCAATGTCATAATGAAGAACCAGAACACCACCACCTGCATCACACTTGGTACCATGCAGCCTCAAGAAATCCGTGCCAAAGTCTGTTTTGACCTCAGTGTGAGCAGCATCTCTAGAGAGCTGGACATGTAAGTGACCACCTTCTATCCTGAGGTATTATTATCTGCACTCATTCCCCAGGCCTGGACTTCATCAAATCCTTTAGGTTCTCTCTCTCTCTCCCCGTCTCTCTTTCTGTGATATGTGTGTGTGTGTGTGTGTGTGTGTGTGTGTGTGTGTGTGTGTGTGTGTGCATGTGGCTATGTACAGGTTTGTGTAGATACTTATGTGTGCATGCATGTGGAGGCCAGATGTCAACATTGGGTATCTTCCTCAGTTGTTCTCCACTTTACTATTTTGAGGCAAGGTCTCTCACTGAACCTGAAGCTCCTTGATTCAGTTAGGCTGGCCAGTGAACCCAGTGTGTGTGTGTGTGTGTGTGTGTGTGTGTGTGTGTGTGTCTGTATGAGTGTATGGATGTATATGCACACACACACACGCACATAGACACACACATATATGGGTGCACGAGTCCATGTACGTGTGTGGAGGCCAGAGAAGGATGCTGAGTGTCCTCCTTTATCATTCTCTCCCCCTTACTCCCTTGAGACACTGGACCTAGAGCTACTCACTGGACCTAGAGCTGCTTTGGTGGCTGGTAAGTCCCACCAACCCTCCTGTCTTCACATGCAAACATGACTTTTGTTTTGTTTTGTTTTTGAGACAGTCTCACTGTGTGTCTTTGGTGTGCCTGGAACTTGTTATACAGACAAGGCTATCTTCAAACTCACAGAAATCCATCTACATCTATCTCCCAATTACTACTGTTGATATTAAAGGTGTATGCCCTCTCTTGTCCTACGCCCATTCCCACTAATCCTCTTCTCTTCCCAATTAGTCCCCTTCTATTTTCATCTCATTTTATGTGTGTGTGAGAGAGAGAGAGGAGAGAGAGAAAGAGAGAGAGAGAGAGAGAGAGAGAGCAAGCCATTAAGATTATTTACAGGAGCATGGGTAAGGTTTGTTTACAGGAGCATGGGCAACTTATCAGTGACTATACCACTGGGGGGGAAAAGTCTCTCCATCCCCCATCAACCATTAATAGCATATGAACCTTCAGGGAGAAATGGGGTCTCATAAGCCTCTCACTCTTCCATGACATGTTGGCAGCCCCCTGTTTATATGTGTGTGTGATTTTATTTAATTTATTATTATTGTGTGTGTGTATGTATAGATCAGAGGACAATTCTTAGGAGTTGGTTCCTTCTACCATGGGTTATGGGGATTGAATTCAGGTTGTCAGACTGCCCAGCAAGCATCTTTACCCACTGATCCATCCTGTTTATAGATTTTTTAAAAGAAATATTGGCAGAATTAACCAAAAAACTAATCTAAGTTATTACCTATAGCACAAAGAAAAGCTAAACAGAGAATGAACCATATTATTCGGTTTTAACTTTGAAAACTATCAGTTACTTTTATGTTGCTATGATAAAATACCCCAACAAAAAGCAAGTTAAGGAAGAAAGGGTCTATTTTAGCTTACAGTTCCAGATGGGTAGAGTCCATTATGGTGGGGAAGGCATGGCAGCAGGAGCAGGGAGCTAGCTGATCATATTTCATCTGCAGACGGGGGTGGGGG